AGGGGGTTCACCAACATATGGGGTGATCATTGCACCCAACTTTATTCAAGCTGATGGAACAGGCAATTCTTGTATCAACCCAGAGCCTCTCCCCCACTAATAGAACAGCACAGCACAGTACAGGCCCTTCGGCCCACAATGTTGTGGCGAACTTTTACCCTAACCCTAAGGTCTATCCAACCTCCACCCCTACCTTATACTAGAATCCATATGCCTATCTAATAGCCGCTTAAATGCCCCTAATGAGGCCGACTCCACTACCCTCTCCGGCAATGCATTCCACGCCCCGACCACTCTCTGAGTAAAGAACCTACCTGTGACGTCTCCCCTATACCTACCTCCACTCACTTTAAAACTATGCACCCTCATAATAGTTACCTCCACCCTAGGAAAAAGTCTCTGGCTGTCCATTCTATCTATACCTCTGATCATTTAGTACACCTTATTGAGTATTAGAAAGTCCTAGAGTGGATGGGCAATAAATGCTGGCCTAGCAGAAGCAGCTGAATGGATCTTAACTATGGTAATTCCCACTGATTTTTGTCATTATAGATTATTTACGCCATATCTAACCCTGTCGCCCTGCAGTTCCAAGCTGAGAAGACAAATTAATATTGTTCTGCCCTCAGGTGAAGTTATACAAGGTCAATAGGATTTTTCTCCCCCCCACACAGAGAGAACACAGCAATAACAAATCAGGTACAATTTCCTGTAAGTCATGTCAGCCCAACTTTGTCCTTTTGTTCATAGTTCTGTGCAAACAAATGGGATGCTGTCTTATTCACAATCTCCACAAGGAACTAAGCCTGAGTCTTAGTGAATCCTTTGCAAACTTTCAATCTCCAATACACTCCACGGTTACACCTGGAATCTCCCTGGGCTCAATTCCCAAGGGTGCTGCATTCTGAACTAGTTTAACATAACCAATGATTGAAGCAGATTTTGTAGCACAGTGCTAGTGTCAAAACACAGGAGGGCATTGCTGATAGCATCCCCAAAACTGCAGATGGTAAAATCATGGCTCGAGTTTTCTCTCGCTATGAGCTGTGCTCTGAAGAGCAAAAGAGTCTGGCTTGATTCAGTGGGATATCGCGAACTTCACCATATTTACCTTCTGGTTACGGTTCTGCAATGGTTATATTTACAGAGTCGGAATCAATGAGGGTTAGCCTAGCCTGTTGATGAAAGCTTAACGAACATCATAGCAGTTCACAAATTTGAACTCTTGAGAGGTCAGTGACCCCAAGGACATTAGAAAGGAACAGACTCTGACACCCCAAGCCAATCTGAAAGCGGGCAGTTTCAGTCCCACGTGAGCCACATCGATTATTGGCTGCATTCTGAAGGAGCCCAATGAGGTGGATACAATTATGAAGGGCATGGACAGGGTGGACACAAAACAGCTTTTCCCCCTTAGCCCAAGGGTCAATAACACAAAGGGGCACACTTATAAAGGTGAAAGGATTAGTGGGGAAATTTAAGGAAAGCTTTTTTTCCTAAAAAGGGTGGACTGTCTGAAATGCGCAGCCTAGGAGAGCAATTGAGAAAGGAAACCTCACAACCTTGAAGTGTCATAACATTCAAGGCTGTGGGCCTAGTGCATGAAAGTGGGACAAGTGTCAATTGAGTGTAGTTTTGTCAGTGCAGACTCGATGGGCCAAAGGGCCTCTTCTGTACGATTCTGTGACCATTCAGCTCCAACAAACCATAACACAGACAAGAGTGGTTCACAGAGCAGCAGAGATACTTAGAACAGGAAACAAATATCAGGCTCATCAGCGATGTCCACATCCCAAAAAAACATCTGTTTCTAAAACTAACAATGCATTTGTCATCTGAGATCTTTAGCAAAGGGAAGCACCTGTACAATATTTCGTCAGTGCAATTCCACTGTGTAAGTTAAACAGAATTAACTGTTAGAATGTACAAGGCATTCAGAAACCTATAGGCTCCGATTAAATTTTAAGCAAGTAAATCTCTCAGTTAAGTCAGGCTCGAGATAACTGTATGCATTATTAGAGATACAGTTTTGTAAATAATCTACAGAATTAGTGATGCATTGGTGGTGTCCCTCCTTCCCAGAGGCCTAGATTCAAATCTCTTCTGTCACAGCATACCTGGAGAGTTTGACTACAATGATTAGCTGCCAAACTGGCTGCGTTTGAAGCTTTGTGTGTACAGGTTAGTGTCCAGCTCTCAGTACACTCCCACTGGCTGCAGGCCATTCTGAGAGTATCTGTCCACAGCGTCCATGCTAGAGTCTGGCTGGACATTTCCTCAGGCCTGTTCGCACCACCTTCTGGTACATCAGCAAAACTTCAGCCCCCAGGAAGAAAGCTCCAAACATATCACGGTAATGTTTGTGAATTATATGCTGTGTACCTCATACAGGTACCGTACACAGGTAGAGTCACTCAAATCCTATCTATTTCAGGAACACAGAAACTGGAAACAGGATTGAGATATGAGCTAAAATATCGCAATCAACCATTCTTTAAAAAATTTTCTCATTGCAATAGGGAAAAAAGAATGGCATTCAACAAAATATGAAATTACTCTTGCAAGTTTGGTAAGTGTGTCAACAGTAACTCTGAGCTCAGTAGACTTTAACTGCTCTGTCACATTTCACTCAACAAAGTTTAACTCTCATAACATTTAAGAAGCATCTGGATGAGTACTTAAATACCAGGGCACAGTAGGCCGTGGACCAAGTTAGGTAAAGGGGAAACAAAAACAAAGTTGCTGGAAAAGCTCAGCGGGTCTGGCAGCATCTGTGAAGGAAAAAACAGAGTTCATGTTTCAGGTCCGATGATCCTTGCTCAGAGAGATCTGAGGAAGGGTCACTGGAACCTGTAACGTTAACTCTGTTTTTCCTTCACAGATGCTGCCAGACCTGCTGAGCTTTTCCAGCAACTTCTGTTTTTGTTCCTGATTTACAGCATCCTCAGTTCTTTCTGTTTTTACGTAGGTAAAGGGGATTAATGCAGTTTGGTCGGCATAGACACAATGGGCCAAAAGGGCCTGTTTCTATGGTGTATGACTTTATAACTCTGCCTTGTGCAATTTTTATGGTAAGAGAGTGGAAGTTCCCATCAGTTCAGTGATTTCTGGAAGACTGTATTCTAGGTAGCGTGTCCAGCCCCTTCTCCTTTGAAGAAGTATCCAATCTCTGACACTAACTCCTTGAGGTGAACTGCACGTGAGGAATCTGTTTTGGGAGAGTACAGTGTGGGTCAGAAATCTCCAGTGGTGGCTGGAGTATTTCCTATTCAGAGATGGTTAAACTTTATCTATTGCAACCTTCCCTAGTTATCAATAAAGTCTCAATAGGGTCTGGCAGCTACTGCTCAGATGTGGAAGGTGTGGAAGAGGTTAAATTGTTTCAGAGATAGCAGGAACTGCAGATGCTGGAGAATCTGAGATAACAAGGTGTAGAGCTGGATGAACACAGCAGGCCAAGCAGCATCAGAGGAGCAGGAAGGCTGAAGTTTCGGGCCTAGACCCTTCTTCAGAAATGGGAGGGGGAAGGGGGTTCTGAAATAAATAGGGAGAGAGGGGGAGGCGGATAGATGAATTGTTGGCAACTCTCCAAAGGTTTGAGACCCCCTGCTGGTCTCCCCCTCCATTACTATTAGTGCTGAGAGAAGCTTGTATTGTCTCTGTTATGACAGTGGTTCATTAAAGATCCCTTGAAGTCTGTGTAAGAGCAAAAGGGAGGCCAGGCAGTTAATACACTTGTTGAATACTTAATTCAATTGTAAACATCTCCCAAAACTTCTCTCAGTTCCTCATCGTTCTGACTCAATGAATGGGGCAAAATCTCATTCTTGAACACAACCATTTTAATCCACAACTGGCCTAGGCACTCCTGCGCAATGCCAGGTCACACCACTGACAAACTAACACAACAGGGACCAGAATAAAGAGACAACAGGAACCAGAAGCAAACAAAAAAACAGAAATTGCTGGAGAAACTTAGCAGGTCTGCCAGCATCTGTGAAGAGAAAGGAACAGAGTTAACGTTGAGTCCAGTGACCCTTCTTCAGAACTGACAGTAGTGAGGAAAGGGTGGGTGGTATGACGGGGTCTGAAGGGGTAAAGGGAATGAATGGATAGATGGAGAGACAGCGAGCGATGGGGGGGGGGGGAGGGGGGGGGGGGGAGAGGGAGAGGGGGGGAAGGGGGGGGGGGGGGGGACAGAGGGAGCGGGACGAAAGTTAGCTAGACACAGGGATTGTTGGTAATAAGCCAGGGAAAAAGAGCAGTTAGAGAGGTGACAGTGGGGACAGTGAGTGCATGAAAATGGGTTGGCTGTGCTGATCATAACCCATGGGAGGACAGGACCTGGGGTGTGGGGGTGGGTAAAGGACACGGAAGGTAGTGGTGTTCAGGCCCCAAAGATATTGGAACTCGATACCGAGTCCTGAAGGCTGCAGGGTCCCCAAGTGGAAAATGAGGTGCTGTTCTTCCAGCTTGCACTGAGCTTCGCTGGAACCAGAATTCTGACTCCTGTGAACGTGGAATATCTTCATTATTCATTGTATTAACAGGAGGAGGAATGTCTTCACCCAGGGAGTGGGGGGAGCATGTGGAATTCTCTGCCACAGAGGGCAGTTGAGACCAAAACATTGAATGTTGTCAGGAAGGTGCTGGATGTGGTTTCTGATGCTGAAGGGATCGGGATGGGGGAGGGCGGCGGGGGGAGGTTGTGATGGGCTGTACTGATTAGTGGGATAGACTTGTAGGGCCAAGTGGCCTACTCATGCTCCTATTTTCTATGTTTCTATGAAGAAGGGTCACTGAAACGTTAACTCTGCTTTCTCTCTCCACAGATGCTGCCAGACCTGCTGAGTTTCTCCAGCAATTTCTGTTCTTGTTTCAGCATCTGCAGTATTTAAATGTTTGCATCTTGAGTTTTTAATTGACGGTGTTGCTTATGACTGGGGAACTAATACCAACAAAGGCAAGATAGTTAAAATCAAACTGACAGTGGGCCTTACCTGTTCCCATTTGGGGTCAGTCACTTAGCTGTTATTTTCTCCACCCTTTCTGTAAAACAAATCCTTCCAGATGACATACTGAAGACCCAGCCTGGCAAGACAGATAGACAGACAGATAAAAAGACAGTCAGAATGAGCTGTGCTAATGAACAGGTTACAGCAGGTAGAGTTTTTAAACACATGTTGTTTCCAATTGCTGATCCCAAACCCCAGGGCCCCATTTTGAAAATCTCCAGTTGAGTCCAGAGAGACAGTTTTACCGCCAAATCGTACTTCGCAAACTGCCGAAAATAAGATGGTTAAGATTGCAAACACAATTGGATATAGGTACACAGGAACAGGTGCAGGCCATTCAGCCCCTCCAGCCTGTTCCGCCATTCAATGAGATCATGGCTGATCTGTAGTCTAGCCCGCCTTTGGCCCATAATCCCTTAATACCTTTGCTTAACAAAAATCTATCGGTCTCAGATATAAAATTAACAACTGATCGAGCATCCACTGCTGTTTGTGGAAGAGAATTTCAAACCTCTCCCACCCTTTGTGTGTGGAAGTGCTTCCTAACGTCTCTCCTGTACGATCTGGCCCTAATTCTCAGACTATGCCCCCAGTTCTAGAATCCTCAACCAGTGAAAATAGTCTATCTATCCTGTCTTTTCCTGTTAATAGCTTGAAACCGTCGATCAGATCGCCCTTTAACCTTCTCAATTCTGAAGAAAACAGACCTAATTTATATAATCGCTCCTCATGACTTAACACCCGAAATGCAGATACCATTCCTGTAAACCTACACCATAGTCCCTCCGAGTTCAATCTACCCTCCTGAAAGGAAAAAACCCGAAAGGAAAATCAAAATGTAGGCTGAGAGCGTGGGAGAGGAGAAGGGGTGTGGGATTCTCTGGATAGGACTTTCAAAAAAACTAGCACATACAGGGTGGCTTAATGGCCTCTTCCTTGTCCTTTGCCAGTGATTTGGGTGGGAATGAGAGGCCAGATCTTTGTAAGCGAGGCAAAATCCGCACAACCTCACCAACCCCATCAGAAACTGCGCCAACTCCAACCCGAGATGGTAGGAACTGCCGATGCTGGAGAATCTGAGATAACAAGGTGTAGAGCTGGATGAACACAGCAGGTCAAGCAGCATCAGAGGAGCAGGAAAGGTGATGTTTCGGGTTTTTTTCTGAAGAAGGGTCCAGACCCAAAACGTCAGCTTTTCTGCTCTTCTGATGCTGCTTGGCCTGCTGTGTTCATCCAGCCCTACACCTTGTTATCTCCAACTCCAATCAGCTGCTCATAACCAAAGGCTTAAATGTACAAAGAAAAGTCAAAACATCACAGGCAGGTTTGCACAGCCTGTTACATCATTACAAGTAATTGGTCTAGACACAGATACCAACCACCGTGAGAAATTGCAACTTCACCTTGGGAGGGACTGGTGTGATGTAACGTAACTACTCCCAGCGTAAGCCTTTCACCAATTTTCTTCCTAATGCTTCAATTAAAGGTGCTTTGATCCTGCATATGTGGCTCATATTCAATTTAAAAAGCTGCCTTCATCCACAAGGAGTTCCCATCACATTCCCCAGTGCTGACACCCTCTGCTCAACAAGAACAGAAACTTCCATTAAAGGACCTCCCAGTTGGAGCAGTGCTATCCCAGGGTCCCCTTGCTCTAAAAAAAAAGGAAAGTCTCGGCTTCGACCTCGATTTGTACCAAGTTACAGAACCACAGACATGTTACAGAGCAGACGGAATCCATTCGGCCCACTGTGCCAGCACCAGCTCTTCAAATGAGCATCATTACCCATTGCCAATTAGTGCCAACCCCCCCCCATACCCTAACACGTTATTTTTATCCCAAAAAAATCAGCCAGCGCTCCTCTTAAATGCCTTAACTGAACCTGCCCCAACCACATTTCCAGACAGAGCATTCCATACCCTAACTACCCACTGTGTAGATAAGTTATTTTTCCTCACATCACCCTTGCCACTTTTGAAGATCGCATTAAATCTATGCCCTCTCATTTCTGTTTCTGTGACAACTGGGAACAGTTTCTCCCTGTCTACCCCGTCCAGCTCGCTTATCGTTTTGAAAACCTTTATCAAATCTCCTCTCAGCCTTCTTATCTCCAAGGAGAACAGTCCCAACGTCTTCAATCTATCCTCACCACTGACTCCTGGAACCATCTGGTAAATCGCTTCAGCTCTCTCTCATATCTTACCTACAATGTGACACCAAGAACTGGACACAATACTCCAAATGAGAGAAGAGTTGGCTCTTCAGTTGACAGAATTAGCTCAACAGCAGTTCATAATTTATTTGGGAGTTATGGGAGTCCCTGGCTGGACCCAGCATTTATTGCCAGTCCCCAGATGCCCCTGGAGAAGGTGGCAGTGAACTGCCTTCTTGAGCCGCTGCAGCCCATGTGGGATCTTGAAGTTTTATCCAACAAAGTAGCTTGCATGGTCACTCCAGAGGGCAGCTCAGAATCAATATCATATGTAAGTCAGAACAGTAAGGATAGCCAATTTCCGTGGTAGGACATTAGTGAACTAGATGGCTGATCAACAGAGTGGTTTTATGATCAACACACACAAAGTCAAACATGTACAAACACACACACACACACACACACACACACACACACACACACACACACACACACACACGTTCTAAGGAAGGGTCACTGTACTCAAAAAGTTAACTCTCACTTCTCTCCACAGATGCTGCCAGACCTGCTGAGCTTTTCCAGCAACTTCTGTTTTTGTTTCTGATTTCCAGCATCCACAGTTCTTTTGATTTTTATCTAGTTTTATAGTCATAGAGTCATACAGCATGGAAACAGACCTCTCGGTCCAACCAGTTCAGGCCCAACATAATCCCAAACTAAACTAGTCCCACCTGCCTGCTCCTGGCCCATATCCCTCCAAATCTTTCCCATTCATGTATTTATCCAAGTGTCTTTTTAAACATAGCTGTACCCACATCCGCCACTTCATCGTCATGGTCATTCCACACGCAAACCATCCTGTGTAAAAGAAATTGCCCCATATCTTTTTTATACCTCTCTCCTCTCACCTTAAAAATTTGCCCCCTCGTCTTGAAATCCCCCATCCTAGGGGGAAAAAAACTACCATTAACCCTATCTATATCCCCTCATGATTTTATAAACTTCTACAACGTCATCTCTCAACATCCTACACTCCAGTGAAAGAAGTCCCAGCCTATTTAGCCAACTCAAACCTTACGATCATTATAAAACTGGAATTTTATTCCCAATTTTATGAAATACATTTAACAGTTGCAGTGGTGGGATTTGAACTCACATCTGTAGCATGTGTCTGGGTGCCTGAATTACAACATGACCACAAGCCATGTGTCACTGGGCAAAACATCAGAAAAAACCAACCCAGAGTACAGATATCTCTGAAGGCGGCGTTACAGCCCTAGCTGATATTATCACTCAGCACGTCAGTTCCCAGAATAAAAGCTGACTTGATTGATCATGTTTTGATTTTCAATTTAACGTGGCAGTCTTTCATAATCAGGAGTACACCAGAATGCAAATTTAATTATAAACCAGACTGCATTATGCAAAAGATATAAAAATAAAACAAACCAACCTCTCCAAATACAGCTCAGCTCGAAAGACTTTGAGCACTCAGCAGAACAAAGTTCTATCTATTCCCCTACACCCCCACTTTCCATTACTCAGAATTCCCATCATCATCATATCTGTAAGGTTGATTTGTTAATTCTCTCATGGGATGAGCGAGAGCTACACAGCCGCTTTTTTTGAATGCAACGATAAGGTATTCTGATCCACTGCCTTTTCCTCAGTTCCTATCTCGTGAAATGTGAAATCTTTACCATGAATCCTCATCCTTATTCTTAAACTTTCACAACTTTGAATAACTAATGTAGATTTCTAACCAAACATCTCTGGTCTGGAAGTTTCACAAACTAAACTCTTTCACTGAGGTAACAAATTGAAGTGATTAGAACATAGAACATAGAACATTACAGCGCAGTACAGGCCCTTCGGCCGTCGATGTTGCGCCGACCTGTGAAACCAATCTGAAGCCCATCTAACCTAAACTATTCCATTATCATCCATATGTTTATCCAATGAATTTGGTTCCAATCCAGTGATTGGAACCAGGTGGATCTTATTGGCTATGAGATCCTTGATTGGGGCTGTTAACCTGGGCCAGAGAGATCGGGCCAACCAAGATAAACAGGCGATGCAAAAAAAATATACACAATCAGGGGATTCAAAACCTCCTCACTTCAGGGTGTGACTCTGAGCTGGCTGGTTACAGCCAGTGTGCTGTGAATAAAGGGTGACTTTGTGATTGGGATACCAGCCTCTGTGCAATTATTTCACGTACTATCTTAACTGCTCCAAACAGTTTCCTTTTTCTTGGAGAGGATGATGAGAATCTGACCAGGCAGGTTTCCTTTGAGCGGTCTAAAGCCTTTGCAGTTTCTGGGTCTTTTGAAGTTAAAGCCAGTCCTTGATTATTCTCAATCCGAAAGCAAGCTAATATTCTCTAATGTTTTCTCTCACCTGTCATAAATCCTCACAACATAAACAAACCTCCATTAACACTCCAGGAGGCCCTGCAGTCCTGCAATTCTGACACATGCAATTTAAAATTATGGTTCCACAAGGACTGACTGAGATCTGCTCAAATGATCCCAAGAATGAACAGCTTCAGTTCTATAGAGGGGGTATATTCTCTATACTATTATGGACGCATGTTTTCGATCAGCCCCCAGCCTTCAACTGAGAAACTGTTTTCACGGGTATGTGGGTCAGTCATCAATAGATATGGATTTAAGGTGTTTGGAAAAAACACCAGAGGGGATGTGAGATTTTTGTTTTGTCCTCCATAGGGAGCCTGGGACTCTCAGTCTGAAAAGGGCAGGTTATATAGAAAATTCCAAAAGGATAAATCCATGCAGGGAAAACAATGAGAGACACAGTGGGAGATTATTAGACCAGAAGACTGTAAGAAATAGGAACAGGAGTAGGCCTTTCAGCCCCTCAAGTCTGCTCCTCCATTCAATAGGATCATGGCTGATCGGAC